AGCCTTGCTCTGCCTTCCTGACAGTGTAGACCTCGCTCCTGGAGGGCTAGACTCCTCCAACTCGCCCTAAAGTCTCTCGGCAACCAGAATGCACAGGGCTGTCTGGAACACTCATGTCTGGAAAGGTGGAGGAGGGGTTGGCCACCCCTCCACAGCCTGTCATTTTGTAGCAGGATGAGCCACAGACAAAACTCCTCAGATACCAGATTAAAGACGGAAGAGGTTTTTATTTGGCCGGGAGCGTTGGCAGACTCGCGTCTTAAGAGCCGAACTCCCTGAAAAAGCAATTCCTAGCCCTTTTAAGGGCTTACAACTCTAAGGGGTCCATGTGAAAAAGTCATGATAGATCAAGTAAGTGTGAGGAACATGACTGGGGGCTACATACATCAGCTAACAGAACAAGAAGTTTTACAGTGCTTTCTCATACAATGTCTGGAATTTACAGATAACACCAGTAGTTTTAGTCAGGGGTTAATATTATTATTATTATTTTAACCACCAGGGCCAGGTAGTGGCGCCAAGGTCATCTAAGTATTTATCTTCTTTCTGTTTCTTTCCAACTTTTTGCTTTCTCCCTTTTCTCCTGTTTTATAAACTAGGGAAAAGGGGAAGTGGGGGAGAAGCTGGGAAGGACAACAGGAGGAGTGGTGTTCTCATTCCATCGTTTGAGTTCTAGATGAATGCCCAGCAAGTCACAGTTCAGGCCCAGCAGCCGACCAGCCAACAGCCAAGAGCGGCCTATGGTGAGTGGCCTATGGTCCGCGGCCCGCCAGGAGAGGGGCCTACGGTCTGCAGCCCACCAGGAAGGCACTCTGTCCGCCATACCCCCATGTCTCAGGTTCCCAAGGCCATGGGGACCCTGCCAGTGCAGGCCCACATGCAGGTGGGGGCGGCTCACACTGTGCCCCTCCCACGTGACTGATGTGCGCCTTGCTGTCATTATCCTACTTTCAAGACCCACCCCCTTCCTCCAGAGAGGTAAGGAGACGGGAGTGTGTGGACAGCCCAGCCCTACACTCCACACTGAAGGTCCCTCCTCCCTATTCTGTGCTCCGTGAAGGTTGCAAAGAGCCCTCGAGGCCCAGCCACAGATGCCTGCCTGAGCCCTCAGCAGCTGGTGGCCCACCATCCTGCCGCCGCCGGCATGGCCCTGGCACACCCCTCAGCCCCACCCCAGCCCCTCCCACCTGGTCCCCACTGTCACTGACACCTCAGCCTTCCTGTTGCCCCTCCCACCTCTTCCTCTGTGTGCTCAGCTGGTGTCCTTCCCGTCAGGCAAACGGCTTCTCTCCCCTCTCACATCTCTTCTCGAAACTTTGGGGAAGGCTCCAGGCCCCCGTGCCACTGTGGAAGGGCTGGGATGGGCCTGCCTGATGTGCCACAGCTGCCCCGGTGCCCACTCCTCCCACCTCCCGAGTGTGCCCCGGTGCCCGCTCCTCCCACCTCCCGAGTGTGCCCCGGTGCCCGCTCCTCCCACCTCCCGAGTGTGCCCCGGCCCACATCTCATGTCTGCGCACCCAGCGGCACTGAGCCATTATCAATCCCCAATAAATGGCAATCATGGTGAGGTAGCCTTGTGGTCTGGGGTCAATACCAAGGTTCTTGGTTTCATGGCCAAGGAGATCGAGGTCGCAGACACACACACACACACACACACACACACACACACACACAGGAGTGAGTTTGGAGCAGACGTTTAATAAGCAAAAGGAAAGAACAGCTCTCCGTCACAGAGGGGAACTGAGTGGGCTGCCAAGTTGTAGTAAAGATGTCAAGGCTTTTTTGTTTGTTTGGTTTTTCCTGTCGCCCAGGCTTGAGTGCTGTGGCGCGATCTCGGCCCACTGCAACCTCCACCTCCCGGGTTCAAGCGATTCTCGTGCCTCAGCCTCCTGAGGTACACGCCACCACACTCAGCTAAGTTTTGTATTTTTAGTAGAGGTGGGGTTTCACCATGTTGGCCAGGATGGTCTTGATCTCCAGACCTTGTGATCTGCCCGACTCAACCTCCCAAAGTGCTGAGATTACAGGCGTGAGCCACCGTGCCCGGCCTGTCAAGGTTTTCATAAGTGGGCTAGTGATGAGGGGCTAGAGGAGGGATGTCCTGTCCTCCCAGGGCCCAAGGATTTAGCTGGGACCGGGTGTGGTATCTGCATAGAGAAGAGTTCCTATCAGACTCTTAGTCTGTTGCTCTGTGACGCTTTTCTGGGAGGTCTCTGGGTCTGTTCCCAGACATCTTCTTGGGGCTACAGGCACCCCGGACAGTCTGCTTTTAGTTTCCCTATCTTAGAGTGCCTAAAGGGAATGTGCTTATTAGGGCCCACTGTTCTACTGGGGCCCGTTGTGTAAGTGTGAAGTTTGGCAATTACCCAGGAGACTCCCCGCTGACTCCTTCTCTGCCCGAGCTGTCTCGTCTGTGACTTACGGTCTGCTCTTTCAGCCTGCTTGGTGTTAGAGAAGAAGTGATTTTGAACTCAGAGGTTAGAAAGGGAGCTATTTTTGTTAAAAGGCAAGTTTTCTGCCGGAGACTGGCTTTACCCTACCTAAACCCTTTCTTTCTGCCTCCTATAACAGTTGCCTTTGCATTCTGCTAGCATTTGTTTGAACACAGTCCATAGGTTCAGCGATTGCGTCTCTAATCAGCTGCCAGTCCCCATCCCAGACATTCTTTGCATCCACGCTGAGGTCTGAATTGAGGGAGGCGGGCTGGTGTTTCCATCCTCACAACTCCAGTGAGCCGGGCATGGCCGTGGCCTGCGTCTCCCTGGTGGTTAGTGATGTTGGCATCGTCCACCTTTTTCAAAGTGCTGGACTCAGAGAGAATTCACACACTGTATCCACCCAGTCCATGGTTTTTCGTAAAAGGTTTATAGAGGTGAGCAGCCATCACCACACACAATCTAAGAACATTCTCATCATCCCCAAAACAAACCCCACCCACTCCCGGCCACCGTGTCCCCAGCCCCAGCCCCCACTCCCGGCCCTGGCGCCCTTTAATCTCTGGCTGTGTCTGGGACACTCCCTACAGCTGGAGCCTTCCTTCATTTAGTGTCGGGTTCCGGAGCCTTCCTTCACTTAGCGTTGGGTTTCGGGTTCATCCATGTGGTGCCTGTGCTGGTGCCTCACTCCTTTTTCTCTCCTGGTGTGGATTTCCCACGTTTTATTATCCATTCATCAGCTGATGGACATGTGGTTAGTTTTTAGTTTTTGGCTACTGTGAACAGTGCTGTGGAGAGATTTGTGTACACGTTTCTGTGTGGACGTAGGTTTCACTGATCTGCGGCGTACCAGGTGCATAGGAGGGAAGTGCTGGGTCATAAGTGACTCTGCATTTAACGTCCCAAGGCTTTGCCCAACTGTCTCCACATGTGACTTTCCCACCAGCAACACATGAGGTGTCCACTGAACAATCACAAGGTTCACAAATCTGGGGAGGAGAGCTCTCTTTTTTTTTAAACCAGCTTCAACGCAGGTGGACCGAGCTGTCTCTTAGAAAGGGTTGCACCCTGCAGGGTGGCTGTCCTGCCAGGCTGGGAAGTGGAGCCTCCGGCAGAGACACAAGCAGGCACTTCCGAAGCGAGGAGGCTGTGGCGGGTGTGTGCCCAACAGCTTGGCCAGGCGCACGTGTTCAACAGGTCACAGAACAGGTATGAATATTCACAAAAGGGGAACATGGACGTGTGTGACAGGCAAACACGCATGTTACGTGGGTCCCATCTTCACCTTGGGGTGGAGGCATCACATTCGAATGCGTTACGGATAATTAGACCGTGCATGCGAAAAGCTGAAGTGGGGACGGGAAGGCACTCTGTGCGCAGCCTCCACACCAGCCAGGGCCACGCACACTTCGGAGCTCTCTGATCAGGAGAAAGTCACCGCCGTCAGCCTTGTGTCCTGATCAGGAGAAAGTTAGCGCCGTCAGCGTTGTGTCGTCACGGCTGTAGTCGTGGCTGGTGGAGCAGGGGTCGGTGAGTCCGCGTGTGTGAGCTGGGTAAGCTGCATTTGCTTCAACATTGCTCGTCTTGAGGCCAGAGCTTGCTTAGCTGCTGGAGAGAAACATCTTGTGGCCTCAGAACACGGTTTATCCTGTAAGTGTCGGTGTATGACTTGAACCTCACACAGCCCAGCCTTAGGTCCTGTTTGTAATTTGGCATCTGATTGCCATGAAGACTCTGTTCTGTCAGTCTTAGGGTCCCTGTTTTAACAGAAGGTTCCGGTTTTTTGCATCTCCACCCACGCCTACCTTCTTGGCCATCCTTGTGGGTATGAGGTGGATCTCGCTGTGGTTGAGCTGCATCTCCCTGAGGAGTGGCATGGAATGCGTCTCCGTGGCTGGCAAGTGGCATGGAATGTGTCTCCGTGGCTGGCGAGTGGCATGGAATGCGTCTCCGTGGCTGGTGGCCACTGCCTGGCAGTGCCCCAAAGAGAGCTTCCGTCAGGCTGAGCCTGGGGAGGACAGGGCAGGGTTGTACCTCAACCACCACGGGCCGGTTCTGGGCTTGCTCTTGTCTGCCCTAAGTGTCCACAGACTTTCAGTGGCTGGTGCTTTGCTGATGTCACTAGCCAAGCCTGCCTCACTGTGGAGTCAGCAGAAGTCAGTTCTCACTGTCTTCCTTGACCAAAAACCAGACCACAGCAGTGGCGGCTATTTATATATCATAAGCGGCATTTTGATAATTCTGGGTATGTTGCTTTCTAAGAAATGAGAGAAAACCAACGTGCTGGGAATTAGCTGATTCCAGGCTCTGCAGAGGCAGCACTTCCCGTTTCGCTGCTTTGACCCCCTCTGAGGTCCAGTCCACCTCGGGAAAATGACGGCAGTGTCGAATTCTCTGTTAAACACAGATCCATCTGTTCATCATACCCTTTGACACACAGGTTCAGCACAGCCGCTGGTGACGTGTCAGACCACAGCGGCCAGTAGCAGGGGCACATGCATCCAGCAGGCACAGCACAAGTTACTACAGCAGTGTGTCACCATGGTTGGCTCACAGACGCCCGTGCTAGGGGCACGGAACCCTGGGCAGCTCTGGACGCTGCAAGGCCGAGGCAGCAGCCAAAGCCCAGACACAGCCTCCACTGGGAGGTTCCGGGCCCCAGCAGAGGCAGGGGCAGGCATGGGGAGGGGGGTGGGAGTCACCCAAGACCTCAGCAGGGCGGCTTCCTTGACGTGCGCCCCGACCAAGGGGATTCAGCACATGCTCCAGTCGAGGAGGGCGCCCCCATTCTCATCCCCTTTGCTGTTGGACTGGGGTGGGACGTCCAGGGCTGCTGTTGCCTAGTTTTTACACTGGGAAGCTCCCAGGACTAGGACTGGCCCAGAAACCCGGACCCCAGGAGAAGCCTCTCATTGGATGACCACAGTAGACACTGGGAGGGCGGCTCTGTAGCCAAGGCCCCACGATCCAGCACACACGAGGGTGCCTCCTGCAGCCTGCACTGAAGCTTGCCTTGTGTGGGAATGTTGCGTTTATATCCCGACGAAGTGTGTGCGTGTCTGGTGTGAGGTTTCTGGTCTGAGTGCGTCCCCGTGAGCGTCCATCCTGCTCGTGGGATTTGACTTCTCATGCGTCAGCTTGGCCTGTGGCTGGGGGACAAGCGAATGTAAGTCGAGGTGAGCCTCAGTCTCAGGAATGTTTCCACACTGTCATTCTACTGAAGCAGGTATCTCCAGGCAGAGAAAGAACCACCATTCACTCCTATTTCTTTGAATATTATCATACAAGAGTTTCAAAACAGCCTCTTTACAGATAGTGGTCAGTGTTTCCAAGGCGTGTTTTCCACGTTCACAGTGGAAAGTTTCATGCTGTGAGTTGACTTTACACCCAGGCCGGGGACTGGTTACAAAGTAAAATGTTGCGACCTGCACAGCTGACTTCTTTGGTCTGTGACAATGCAAGCAACTCTGCCTGACACAGGCCTGGGGAAGGGTTTACCCGCATTTCTCAGCGTTTGTTCCAAAAGCAGGACAGCCCACGTGGGTCCGTCATGTGTCAGCGTGGGACTCTGGAGCGACCTTTCAGAGGCAAGATGGTCAACACATTTGTGTTGCTCTGAGAGCTATTTATTTATTTATTTATTGTTTTTGAGACAGAGTTTCGCTCTTGTTGCTCAGGCTGGCGTGCAATGGCATAATCTCAGCTCACCACAGCCTCCACCTCCCAGGTTCAAGCCATTCTCCTGCCTCAGCCGTCCAAGTAGCTGGGATTATAGGCACCTGCCACCACACCCGGCTAATTTTGTATTTTTACAAAATACAAGACAAATAAAAGAGATGGGGTTTCTCCATGTTGGTCAGGCTGGTCTCGAACTCCTGACCTCAGGTGATCCACCCATCTTGGCCTCCCAAAGTGCTGGAATTACAGGCGCAAGCCACCACGCCTGGCCGAGAGCCTCATTTTTAACATTAGCTCAAGGTTAATCCCGACAACTCTCAGCCAAAATCATGACAGGTGCCACTGTGTCTGTCTGGGAGTACTTTTCATAGTTTTACTGAGGCTTCATTGCCAGCGGCCATCCTGACCTTCAGGCCATGAAAGTGACAGGCCCTAAAGTCTCCAGTCTGGGCGTGTGCTTGAGCTTTGACGCCCAGGCTGCCTGGCGCAGAGACCACGTGCTCGGGGAGGAAGGTTGTGTCCGCTGGGGGACTCCTTTCCTCACACAGAGCATCAGTGATCAGCTCTGGAAGGAGGCTCAGGGTGGTGAGCGCGCAGTCCCTCTGGTCCTCTGGTGCAGTCCCTCGGGCCCTCCGAGCCCCGGCCTAGGCCGCCCTCTGCTTGTGCTCTTCCTGTGGGGGAAAGAGGACGGCTCAGCACCACACACTCCTTCCCCTCATTGTCTGCGGGACCCCGGGCTCTGCCCGGAACGCTGAGGACGGGAAGCCCCGCGCAGAAGCCCAGCCCTGGCTCTGCTGACCCTCCCTGGGGCCATGCATTTCCACCACTGACGCCCGGGGGCTCCCTGTCCTTGGGCCAGAACCTCGAGGACAACTTGTATGACCCTCTTTCCTCGTTTCCTCTTTTGTGCACGCGTGGAGAAACCCTCAGAGGGTTTCGTGCCGGACACTGGCCCTCACCTTGATGGACTCCTCCAGCTGGGACAGGGCCTCCTCGTACCGAGGAACCAGGGCCTGCAGCAGCTTGCTGGAGAGCTCGTGCCGCCGCAACTCAGGCACCCCAGCTTCAGTCAGCATCTGGAGGAACCTCCTCTCCTGGAGAGAAGCTCATGGTGGAAGGGGGTTCTTGGGCCAGCCCCTCGTCACCCTCAGGCAGCAGAAACTCCCAAGACCCTCGCAGCCTCACCTGCACTCTCAGGAGAAGCGTGAAGGCCTGTCCCGTTTTCCCAGCACGGGCCGTCCTCCCAGCCCTGGAATCAAACGCGGCTATCTCCAGCCTGGCCCCTGAGCCTTCAGGGGTCTGACGGAACGACGGCTTCTCTCCACACCAACCCCACCCACACCAGGCAGGACGGTCCCACATACAACGCCCAGGAGCTCACAAAGCCCCAGACCCCCCAGTGGCAGCTGCGCCGCACTCACCGGTGCACATAGGTTCTCAGGTACTGGGGGGCGTCATAGTTCACCACCAGCTCCACACCCTGCACGTCGATGCCTCGGGCGGTGGCATCCGTGCTGATGAGCCTGCCGGGACACACAGCATCGTGGGCCTGCTGTGCCAGGAGCGGGGGCCGTGGCAGCACCGGCCCTGTGGGGGGCAGCTCAGGCCTTTCTAGGAAGTGGCTGCCATGGATCCAGGGCACAGGAAGCCGATTTGCAGAAGGAAGCACCCTTTAGAGGGCCCCAAGCTGACCCTCGAGTGGCACCCCACCCCACAGAGGCCCTGTCCCCAAGCTGACCCTGGAGTGGCACCCCCACCCCACAGAGGCCCGCCCCTGCCCAGGGACTCACAGCTGGATCTTCCCCTGTTCAAACTGCTTCAGGATCCTCCTCCTCTGGCCAGGGCCGTAGCGCGAGGAGAACTCAGCCACGTCCACACCCCCAAAAGCCTGCACCAGCAAGAAGAGCCTAGGTAGAGAGAAGGCTGCAGCCACGTGATGCTGGGACCAGAGGCTGCCTCTGCCATCCCCGCCCAGCTGGGGCCTCACCTGTGGGAGTTCTCTCGGGAGTTAGTGAAGCAGAGAACCCTCGAGAAGCCCATCTCCAGAACCAGGTGCAGGACAACCAGCGGCTTAGAGCTGAGGCTGCAGGGCACGTAGTGGTGCTACAGGGACAGCAGGGGGTGGGGATGGAGGTGGGGGTTGGTTAGGGACCCCAGGCTCCTGGCGCAACCCTCTGCCCAGCCAGAATCCCACTCACCGTGAGCCCAACGGGGAAGGCATACTTCCCCGAGTCCCCGTCCCCATCTGTATCTTCCAGGCCCCTGTGTGCCAGCCCTGTGGAGAAAAGCCGGGGCTGATGGAGGCCCAGCTGCTGCAGCTTTTCGGGGTTCTGGGTCAGAGTAGCCGAGAAGAGCAGCTTCTGCAGGGGCATCTGCGGACGGCAGGTACTGGAAGAGAAGGGGGTGTTGCTGGCACCGTGTCAGCGGCTGCCTCGAGACTCCAGGGAACGGGATTCTTCACACTACCCACTGTAGAGACTACCGTGGACCAGGGGCAAGGTGAGTCCAGCTCACAGAACAGAACGACACGGTTCTGTGCACCAGAGCTCAAGCCATCCTTGTCTCTTGGCACTAAGAAAGGAAAGCTATACGCAGAGGCCTCTGCTCAGGGGATGCCAGCACCTGGGCGTGCTGCTGGATACCTGGCAGCTGTCACAGCCTGGGCCTGTCTTCGCTGGAGCAAGGCACAGGGGTCCGCGGGGTCCTCGCTCTGGAAGGCAGCCGCCACCACTCGTGGCAGCCAGGACTGATGCATGCTGTCAATCATCCGGTCAGCCTCGTCGATGACCTGCGGGAGGCAGGGAGCCCGGGACTGGGTGGCACGGCCCTGAGCTCAAAGCCCAGGCCTCTGGGGTGGGGACTTACCAGGAAGCGGAGCTGCTGGAGGTTGAATCCTGGGGTCTGGTCGATGTGGTCCACCAGGCGGCCGGGGGTGGCTACCACGATGTCAGCCAAGCAGCGGTACCCGTCGGCGCTACACACCAAAGGGCGGCTCCAGAGAAGGAAGTTTTCTCAAGGGCTTCCGGACAGCAAGACGCTGCCTCACCCCATAGTCCCAACTCCACCCTGCGTGGGAAGGGGGCAGACGGGAGCTCCTCCTCTTCACGGGAACCAGGCGGTAAAACTTGGCGGCCCCTCCTCTGCTCCTGTGGTGCCTTAGGCCACCGGCAAAGCTGAGCAAGGACACCTCGAAAACCCCACACCCTGACACAACCTACGTTTTCTGGACGAGGCTCTCCTGCTCCTTGGCCAGAGACTTCTGTCCCGTAATCAGGCAGACTCTCAGAGGTGTGGCATCCGTGTAGATGTTGAAAACTTTGCTCACCTGCAGGAGAAGTCTGTCACCGGCCTGGAGATAGCTGGTGTTCCCCCACTGCAGCAAAGAGGACCCCAGATCTAGTCTGGGTCACCCAGGGGCTGACCGCCGTGCACTAAGCAAGGAAGCAGAGGCTGGCGGTGCCACACTCCAGGTCTAGGGTCCGCGTACCTGCTGGGCCAGCTCCTTGGTGGGCAGCACGACCAGGGCACGGATGTGGCAGACCACTCTGGACAGCAGGGCCTGAGGAGGAAGGGGGTCCTGTGTCAGCAAGGCTATTACCTGCCCTCTGCACACGCGCTATAGAGGAAGGGAACCCTCACACAGACCTGCACCACAGGGATGACGAAGGCCAGTGTCTTCCCACTGCCTGTCGGGGCAGAAACACAGAGGTCGCTAGGCCGGTAGCCGCCTCTGCCCACCAGAAACCCACAGGCCGCGCTCTCCAGGAGGGCAGGAATCACAGCTGCTTGGACTGGAGGAATAAAGGCGAGAGAGAAGTCACATGTTTACGCCTGGGCCTGCCGCTTCCCTGCCTGTGACCTCTGGGCTGGGCCGCTCTGCTGGAGGCCTGGGAACCACTCCCCCGAGGAATGGCACCAGGGCCCAGAGGAACACCAGCTTCAGGAGAACCATGAGCTTGAGGGTGCTGAGACCACACTTGGCACCGATGTGGCAGGGACGCCTGACCCATGGCCACGCACAGCCTTTTGTGTGGGTGCCCAGGGAGGTGTTCCCTCAGCTGCCTGCCCGGGGCTGGGGCACCTGGAAAGTAGGACGAGATGCCATGTGCCCGCAGCTGCTTCTGCAGGTCAGGGTGGACCTCAGGGATGTCCTCGATAGGAACCAGATCTTCGTTGACGTTCTTTCTGACACAGCTGGGCTCAGCCAGCCACCTTGGCAGGAAAGGCTGGACCTGCCATCAAAAAGAGAGGCCAGGTGAGCACCTTCCAGGCTCTCACACAGAAGCAGCCCAGGGTGGCAGAGGCTGGGGGAGGGAGGCCGGGGAAACCTCTTCTGTAGTCTCCAGCTCCTCCTCAGCCTCAGGATGCACTTTTCATGCAGCCTTCACAGAAGTTCAACAGCAAAAGTAGACACCACTTACTGAGCAAACTCACCCGTAATCTCCCATCAACCCACAGTGGCACCCACCCTTCCGCAGCCAGGAGGCCCTGTGACCTGGCGCTCGCCTGCCCCAGCCACGCCGGCGTCCCTGCCTCGAGGCCTGTACCTGGCATCCCCAACCCTCAACTTTGACCTGGCTTCAAGTCTTCGCATCCCAGCTCAAAGAAAACCTTCTCCACCCGCCCTACCTAAGGTGCCCAAGCACTCTGCCAAACTTCTCCTTTTTTTCACCTGTCTCACTAGAGATCTCTACCGAAAACCACCCGTGCTAAGCAAAAACACCAAGGGCCAGGGGCTTGCGGAATGGCCTCTGACTTGCTCCTGAGGCGGTGAGCGCACAGCAGGAGACCCCCGCACGTTCACGCAAGCACGTCCTGCAGGAGAACTGGCGCGGCGCGGCGGGATGGCAGGGGCAAGCCTAGCAGAAAAAACGGGATTTCCGCACATGCAGGATCCAGACTCCTAGGGGATGAAACTGCAGGCCTGGCAGTGAGGCGCGTCTGTGACCCGGGAGCATTCGCTCAACGATGCCTTCCGGGGCGACCGCCACACTTAA